CTCTCTCCCTCTCTCTCTCTCTCTCACACACACACACGCACACACATACAAACAAACAAACACACACACACACACACCAACACACACCAACATACACACACCCACAAACACACAAACACACACACACACACACACACACGTCCCCCACATCACTATCATACTTTCTACCCAATCATTCAGTCAGCAGTGCAGAAGAAAAAACCCTTTGATTGTTTGTCCGGAATCTGTACTAATCTAGTAAGCACCATATGTGAGGCAGCGTGGTGGAATCAGGCTCTCGTCAATTTTTGGGCATGTAGAGTTATTGGTAACATCGTAAAGCTTGTTCACTTGTCTTTATTTGGATGGAAAAAATATGCATTTATCTTGAATACAAGTCGAGATATTTGCGAAAGAAGGAGGTGGGGGGTCACTTGTTTTCAGAGGTAAAATTAGTGAGAAAATGGCCGCCAAAGATTAGTTATTTCCTTGGCTTAAGAGTCCGTGGCAACTGAAAGTTTACATTTATTGTACCTTTAATCAGCGTTTTTCAGAAAAGTCCACACAAAAATGAGCTCTTTAATAGGCATGAAAGGTGTTGAGCCAAAAAAAACGAAAATTTGACAAAAATTCACAAACCTGCAGAAAAATGCAAGTTTCTTCACTTTGATTATTTTGACGAGAGCCTGATTCCACCACGCTGCCTCACATATTATCACTCACTAAAGCAGTTTCTTTTTCAGTCGGTCACTGTCAAAAATACTTTTTTCATTATAAAAGAAGCGTGAGTCTTCAAATACCAAATGGTCGCATGCACTATTGGGCGTCAGATTGGCGTGACAGTTTAGAAGGGGGGGGGGGAGGAGGAGGATGTGGAGAAGGAAGTAAGGGTGTGAATGAGGAAGGGGGGAAGGCAGGGAGAAGGGATGGGATCGAGTGATAATAAATCAACGGCTTACTTATTATAAAACCTGGCTTTTCACAGCAGAGAGGATCTCAATTCCAACCTTTTCCGGTGGCTTGAAAAATCAATTCAAACTTCGTTAATTATTAAAAAATAATTGGAAATTTTCCCTCGTCCAGCCTTTTCGGTGTTGACCATCATCAGGCTGTGATCTGCCCCCCT